GGGTATATCGTACCGATATATGCGAATATTCGCAGCGTACACGTCCATGAAAATGAATAATTTTCCCCGTTTTCTCCACATTTTTCAGTATTTCTTCGCTCCTAGCTCCCAGCGCATGTTTTATATAGCTTCAATCCTCAATGAATGCTCTAAGCAACACAAAAATATTTTTTCAAATAGAACCAGTTGTTCCTGATATTAACGCATTAAAAAAACAAACTCTATATTAGATAGTATGTAGTAGCTTCTCTTTAGTTGCAAATTTTATACAGGTAGATAAAACAGCTTAGAAAAATGAAATGCAATAAGCTACAGTTCACCCCCAAGGTTCATCTCCCGCCGTCTCATTAGCGTTGGTAACGTATTTACTGGCCCCCAGGGATGATTCGCCGAAACTGACTAGTCAGGGTGATGTAATTTGACGGGATTTACATATTTTAACATTGATTTCAGGTACTGCGCTTACAAAATCAAGGGGATCTCCCCAAACTTAAACGTATTACTTCTCCATAACGCTGAGGTATGGACTTTATCCCTTTGCATAGCTACATGATGTTTTAAAACCATATAGCAAGGTTTAAAAACAACACGAATACGCGATCCTTTTTTTGTGAACATAGATCTTTAAATAAACGTAAATATTATGAAATTGGTGTTAATATACCTATTGAAAATATGTATAGAAGACTGAACGCTTAAGTTATTTCTCTTTTTTCGTCTTCTCCGTGTGTTTATTACAGTATTCTTTTGTATAGTTTATTGGTTATACGGAAGAGCACACAAGTCTTTTTGTAGGTCTCAAAATCTGCAATTTTGTTCTTTATACTACTTGCTTACTATTCTATTACATTACCAAATTCAGACATAAAAATACAGCCTATCGATAAAATTACCATAATGGAAGTATGTATAATGTATCGTGCTATTGAAATCTAGCCAATTCATTTCCTACTCGTACATAGAATAAAGAAATCACAAACGAAATTCCGCCTCAATTACGTTTGTATTGAGAAATATACATATGATTGCTTGTATATCGCAGAATTATACTTGTTGTTTCATGAAATTCTGAATACTATATGTTTTATTTCTCTACAAAACTCACCGCATGTCTTTGTAGAAATTAGCATATAAATATAACACTGGTTAAAGACAAAATACCAAGTCAATAATACAAATTTTATCACATTAATTATGACATTAAAAGTTCTTTAAAATAGTGTCTGTCGCTGTATTTTTATAGTTAAACAGTTTTATTTAACTTGACCCGTACGGAATTTATTTATTTGGGTCAATATTAGAAATTGAAATTTAAGCACCTTTCCGTTGTCAGATTTATCTGAAATTTGGTACACATATTTAATTTAGATGACAATACAATATAATCAAAAACATTATGAAACCAAGATGGCCGCCGATACAAAATGGTGAATTACATATTTTTTTCTTAACGCCCTCAATATGGGTATCAAATGAAAGGGGGAAAAAATGTCATAATCATCGTGTTTTACTCACTAGTAAAACACGATGATTAGTAATTTAATCAACGTTTGGTCAGCAAGCATTAGTATAAAATAGACCATTCAATGTATCATGATTTCGCTTCCATAGTGGCATTTTCGGTTTTGGCACACCCACGTTCGGCTGCTACAACTTTTATGAGCCAGCCACTATGTCCCGAGCTTTTTTTATTTTTCACAGCGACAAAATCGTCGAAATCCTATTTCTGACCCGCCGATATTTTTCAAATTTCAACACGAACCGAGTTATAGAAATAAAGTTTTTCGTACATGTTTCGTCGGGCGCTGTTATAATCGTTTGCCGCTGGTTACACACTGCACTTTGTATATATGAAAATAGTGATTTAATATCATGGAGCCATTCACTTTGTAAATAAAGCTTTTGAAACTTTGTAAAACGTGAAAAGCGATGTTTTTAGTTAAATCGTGTACTATATAAATACAGCAAAATCAGATAAGCCAACAAAAACAAGAGATCGTAGCAATTTCAATAATCATTAATTTTTTTTACTATTAACGTTTTAGCCGTTATAATAATTTGTAACGATAACGAGGCCCGAGGTGCTCTCTGTATCGGGCTACTAACTCTTCTATATACATACATACATCGGACGGTTGTTAAAAAAACATGAATTGACATTCTTCATTGGGATTTTAACTCTCGTTATCTTAGTCTAATATATACATATATGACAATTCATAAGTGAATACAATTATTAATAAAATAATACTTTGTGGATTTCCGAATAACCAAAGGCAACTAAGTCGACGGCGCATCTTTTTGAGGTGTTATGTCTAGGGTGAAGTTTAACGTCCATTAAGTAATCCCCTTGCTTGTCTGACTTTCTCTATCATAACAGTATTACATATATATGTTTTAGCGAACGATGTATATTTTTTAATGCATTTATAGCCACCTCCAAAGCACACAAGCAAAAAATACCAATATATCATCCGTGCCAAAAAATTCCTTCTCTAAGCTCGGAGCTATTTAGCATAACGTGTTTTGCGATCAGATTCCGAAATGAAAGCTTTGGGAACTAAAACAATACGAATATCCACTTTGAATTGCAAAAATGTTTCTTGCTTGCCCGAATCACTGTTTGATATAACTTATTTTAGGAATAAGTTTAATATTTTATTTCGCTTTTGTTGGAAGCTGTGGATTGTCTGAGTTTTTGTGTGAAACAGTTTCATTTTAGTGTTGCGAGTTCCGACTGTGAAGCGTTTTCTACGTTTTTTGTACTACTATTGCTGGAATTTAATGAAATACTTTTTCGGTTGGGTGATAGAAGTATTGCGTATGTATTGCTCATCTCCTAATACCTGAAATAAAATAAAATATGGTTAGTTAGGTTAGAAAATAAATAAAATAAAATATACTTTATTCTCTATAAAATTATAAAAAATATTTAATAGAATAATTAATATTCCTCAGAAATATATAAAATTATATGTTTGTCTAAATACTGTCAATAGTTTACGCGAGTACATAAATAAAACACTTGTTGAAAAAAGCCCGCCTGCCTTGGGTTTTTTTCCCGGTTTTTTTTCTTTTTTTAAACCCCCCGGAAAAAACCCCAAGGGGGAAAAAACAAATATTTAAATAAAACACTTTAACGGTTTAAAACGCGATATACATATTAGTTAAACTTATTTGACAATGATTTTTAACTTCGGCCCGATGTTTCGGACGCTTTGCAGCAGCTGTGTCACGGGGAGAAATAAGTTTAACTAATATATCGCGTTAAAGTGTTTTATTTAAATATGTTTGTCTGTCCGGTCGTCATGATTCTACAGAGTGTTCAAAAGAGCAACATAAACGAGAAGAACACTCAAGTCAGTCCGGCTTTTTTCAACATGTCTTACAAACTAATACATTTTTGCGAATTGAATGACCTAAGAAACAATTCATATACTCACTGCCAGTCAGTCCTGTCATTATAGAAATCTTTTAAACAATAATACGCCATTTGACACAATCTAAATTTTATGACTTTTGATAATAAATAAATAAATTAAATTTTATGACTTTTGATAATAAATTTCAAACCTCAACTGGCAATGCTATACACAAGAATTGTGTAAACCACTTTTTAAAGAAATAAAAACATGTGAGATAATAATAGATAAAATTCTCAATCTTAGTTACTTACATTAATCATATTTATTAATTGAAACGATAATAATACATTTTAAAAAGCTGTCATTTATTTATTAATTAAACTTAAATAGTTTGTTACTTAACTTATGACATTGGTCTTGGTCTCCATTTCGTTACAAAATAATAACAATTTAATACAAAGTATTAGTGTCTCAATAGAATCGAAAGTAATTGTAATGGCTGCCTTTGAATCAACCAAGTGAGTTTCGAGATTTGGCTTTTATATCGCGACAAAAGGAAGATATAACTGAAGGATCTTTAAGAATGTGTCTCGTCAAGATATGCGCCAGAAAAAAACATTCGCGAGGTGGGCGACACATTTTCAATTATAATAACTGAATTATTTATTATATTTTGTGTTTTATTCAAGACTATATTCATTAGCGATGGATTAATACCGCGAGTCTACATTGGACTTGGAATAAACTGTTTAAAATGTGTAAATTTTCTTATTGGTTTGATTTGAACCTTAATGCACTCGATTTAAAGTCTAAATTCAAATGTACATTAAGATTAGCTGTATTATATAAATCTATTACTAATATATAAAGCTGAAGAGTTATTGTTTGTTTGTTTGAACGCGCTAATCTGAAACTATTGGTTCGAATTGAGAAAGTTAGATCATTTTTCGAGAGAGGCTATAGGTTATAATATAAAATATCGCGCTATGACTAATAGGAGCAAAGAAACAGTGGGAAATGTGGAAGAAACGGGAAATTATTTCTCTCGGTGGGTTTCCGATGCTTACGTTTCTAAAATGGTTCAAGACACCGAAAATATGTATAAAAGAATGATTTCTCTTTAATTGATTTTTATAAATGTCCCAGACTATATGTTGTAAGAACGTTGGAAAGAGACGCGACCGACGTCGTGGGTAACAGTTTCAGTTTATAAAGGTGAAGGGGTTTGCAAAAACAAATTTGGATACCCAAAGTAACAATTCTATGCACACGACGTCGCTGACACACCTAACGTAAAATATATATAATTATTTTATAGGAATTCATAGATAGGAAGATTCATAGTTGTATAATATATATATTTGTACTGTCATAGTTACTTAAGTCTGAAATAGTTAATTACGCATAATTTTTAGTTATATATACTAGTTAAAAATACTAACAATCATTTTTACCCAGTTTTAAAACACTAATTTCGTTTCGTTTCGTCCAGCAGTAAACCACAATGTAATATTGAATTTCCAAACAATACACTAAATTCTAATTGCGAGCGAAATTTATCTTTCAATTACATTATAAAGCAGATACCTGCCATACATTAATTACTGCGACGTTAATAATGATGTAGCGGACGAAATGGGGACCGGCAAGCACGCGAAAGCACTCACCGTACAAAACTGGAATGGTTGTACACGTAACTTTAATACTTCATTACGAATACCATTGCCACCTGCTCCAATTCGACGTGTACAGGGTGTTGTTTTTGCTGAAGAGTCGCTTATTGTGCACCTCGCGTGCCATTGTGACTTCGAAGCTATGAAACGCTTTTATGTGGGCACAATGGGAATCTTATCTCTGCCTACTGTAATGTCAGCTTGATTTAATTGAGCCAGCGTACTCTTTTAGTAAGGTTTTTTTTTATGATAAAGGACAGACAAGACGGATTTCATTTAATGGAAGGTGGATCCTCCATATGATATCAAAACAAGACGCGCTCTCTCGATCTATTTTGATTTTGCATATTGGGTAACCCACAAATTGAAGCCGCGATTGGTGACCCGATTAAAGTTTTGCCTACCCGTGGCCCGAACAACAAGACGTACGACAAGCCATTAAAAGATTTATTAAATAAATAGATTTTCCTCATTTTAAACGATATAAAGTCTACGCTATCATGTTTTGCATTATCCAAAGATAGAGCAGAAGTTTGTATAACGCGCTAATTTAAAGACAAAAATAAGTTAGATTAGCTCTCAATTGGTTTAATAAAATATTTCGAATATTGCCACAGCCACATAAACATGATAATCTTTATTCTTAATTTAAACGTTAATGATTAGCTGACTTGTTTCTCAATACGACATAACGTTTTGGGTACTTTACATTCTAAGAGGCATATTTTGCATTTTAGTCAATATATATAATTCCAATGTTTGTTTTTGACTAGCTCGAAAATTATTTTCAGATCATATGTATAGTAACAAAAATGTTACTATACGATAATTTATTTATATATATGTAACTATCGATCAATTTAACAACCTTATTTTCCACTAACACGGAAAGCCTTATGGCTTATACCTTTTATATATTATGTTACTTTCAAACTTGTATACAATCTAGGAAAGGGAAAATTGAATTTCAAAAGCGTTAAAAGTGTGTAAGAAGATTAACACAGAACAGTAATAGACTATTATGTTCACTTAAAACGTCCGACCGAAAAAACTTTGAAAGCCCTTTCGAAGATTCAGAAATTCAACTTAAACGAAAAACGAAGCATTTACCGATTCTTGGTCGAGAGTAAAGTTTGTTTTACTGGTAGGGAATTAATATTCATTAAAAAATCTTTCTCGGCATCATTCCGTTGAAACTTTGTAATCAGCGCATGTCGGAGCGAGGCGCTACGCGTCGGTTTTGTCAGCGAAATTCGGAGTTTTGTGACTTACTAAATGGATTTTTCCTGCTCCTCTAATTCGAACAATTTGGAAGAAAGATATTTGCACATTTTTCCTTCGTCCTTTTTGTGGCCACTTCCGTATTTGCATTTGATAACGGTTCTATAACCTTTTCAATATTATTAATGACCGAGTTGCCGTATCTAGATCGCTATAGTATCATTAATAGCAATGTTTTTTTTTTATATCAGACTAGCATGGGATTTATTTAATGGTAGATAAAATATCCCAGCCCTATAACATCTAAACAAGATGCACTGTCGACCTATTTTGGCTTGGGAAATCCACAGACTGAAACCGAAATGCAATTAAATGTGACGGCTGCGCATCTGTGACGGTAGTTCGTAACGAACAGACGAAGTCTAAAACGCTTTAGATAAATAATAAATTGATAAGATACTGTCTATAGTTTACGCGAGTAGTACACATTTAAATAAAACATTTTAACGGTTTAAAACGCGAAATATTAGTTAAACTTATTTGGAAATGATTTTTAACTTCGGCCCGACGTTTCGGATGCTTTGCAGCAGCCGTGGTCACGGGGAGACTGAGTTAAAGTGTTTTATTTAAATACTGTCTATAGTTTACGCGAGAAGTACACATTCAAATAAAACACTTTAACGGTTTAAAACGCGATATATTAGTTAAACTTATTTGGAAATGATTTTTAACTTCGGCCCGACGAAACGCGGATGCTTTGCAGTAGCCGTGACCACGGCTGCTGCAAAGCATCCGTAACAACCAAATAAGTTTAAGTGTTTTATTTTAAAAAATTGATAAGAAATCCACAGATTCAAAACCGAATGTTTTGAATCTGTGGATTTCCGAATGCTTTCATGTTACATGGCTTTCCATCTAGTGAAGTCCATCCTTGTCTGTCCTCATTTTAATGACAGGGAAGTGTAATAAAAAGTATGAATTAAGTATGAGATAATGATTTGAAGAATTTCATTACATGGATAACCCTCCTGAAACAAAGGTCGTCTGCCGAGTTCCGAGCGAGACCGATCAATTTTCAGTACATTCTGTAACATGTAGCAGTGACCGGTCGCACCGCTATATTTCTCTGTCATTATCCATGACATAAATATATTTGTTACAGTCTTGTTACGGGATTTCGGTACGTACAATTTATAGACACATTTTTAACGAAAATCATTTTTGACCGTCACAATTTATGAGGGTGGCACTTTTATTTTAACGTACCCTGAAATACGAAGTGATTTTAGAATGGAAAAAATCTCAATGCTGTCATGTTTTTAAATGTTGTTATCGTTTTAAGTCCCTTAATAAACCCACAGCTGGGACTAGAGCCCTTTATACAAGCCTTAATCCATACGCGTATTTGTAGATCAAATATGCCATCGTAATTTTTGGTTATTATATATGAATATTTGGATTTTTTCTTTATTAGAGAGCACTAAGACCATTTTTCTTATACAACAGAGTAATGATATCCCTAACTCACGAACAGGAGTAGGTTGCACATACCACTACACCAATATGTCTCCATTTTCCATGTTCGTTGCAAAATGTATTTATAAAAAGTCCACTCTATAAACGGCAAATTGGAAAATATTCAACTTGCATTTACAGCCTTTATATTGACGTTCGGATCGTCGCGATAGCTACAAGCATCAGATTGATCAGTTATCGGAAATTAAAACAGAATCACGATAACGTGAAAAACGGTAATTTCTACTAGTTGACTGAAAATCAGCGCGCAGCTACATTATTGTAGCAACAACAGCTGACCGATGTCTCTACCACAAATACTATCTTAATACATTTCTGTCTTACAAAAATGCTATAATATTAAACTCAGGTTATATCTTTTGTGTCACTCAAAAATATTAATAACAAATTTGAAAATAGCAGGATTCTATTCTGAATTGTACAAACGCCGTTAGGATTTAATCTCTTTTCAATCTTGCACGAATCAAACTTTGTAAAGGTTCTGACGAAGCTTCGAAAATAATCCGATAGATGTGCGTATTGCAACGTTTCAAATTTCATACACATGTATGAGAAAGGGAGCAAGGGATCAAAGAACCGTCGTCGTCTAATACGTCACTTCCGGTCGTCGTCCGAGATAAAATTTTATATCATCGGCGTTAGCTAAGGGTTAAAACATTGATGCTCGGATTCGTAAACAGTACATAAAGATCCGGTCGTCTCACAGTTTTTCTGAATTAAGCCGTGAAGGGACAGTCTGACCCGACCCTTATTCTGCCTACTTCCCGGTTTCAGCGTTCCCGCCCGCATTATTAAGTGATTTTGCAGAAACAAATCCACCGGACTTTGAATTACTCTAGGAATATTTTCATCCACACATTTTTACGAAATTCTTTGCGCGCTTAGGTCTAGCGACCATGGTTTACTCCGTAAGGATATTAAAAGAGATTTACTTCGAGACCAGATTTTAGTAGCAACCTAATTTCCTCTTAATCGTTTCCATTATAGTTTATAATTTTAAAAATATAAAAATAGTAGAATCTTATACCCACGTAGATATTAGTAATTTTCAAACTTTATCTTATCATTAACAAAGACTTATATTATATCCTCCAGTAACTGTAAATAATATAGATATGGAATAGTTTGTTCCAAAAGCAAAGCGTAGTCCAAACAGTATCTCGTATTTTCGCTGAACCCGTTTTGAAATATTACAATAGTTACATAACAGTGCTATTCGATTTCCTATCACAAGTAAGGATTGTATCAGGAGCCAGTGGAACGAAATTTTCGAATTGCCTCAGCCTTGAGGCGTTGGGACTTGGAAGTACCCAGAAACTTGGGAAAAGCGCCTGTATCAGTGTTCTGCCCTGGAGCAACGAAACCCGTTTAAATTGAGATTAGCATTTGAAATGTATTTACAGTTGCTTAATCCATAAATTCGGGTATATCGTCTTTATAGAAACTAGGACATCGTTTCTACTGTATTCATTCTCTATATGGCCAATCGCATTTTGAATCAAAAATGTATATATTTTTTAATAATAACCAGCTAAGGACGAAAGTATCTCCTCTTCCTCGGTCAGAAGGGACCTGGTCTGCTTCTTTTTAATTATAATGCTTAATTTAACTTATTTAAAAAATATTTTTAACTTCAGCCCGACGTTTTTAATTTGACGTCAGAGATATACTCCCTCTCTATTCTCGCCGTGAACACGGCTGCTGCAGAGCATCCGAAACATTGGGCCGAAGTTAAAAATAATTTTAAAATAAGTTTAACTAATATATATCGCGTTTTAGACCGTTAAAGTGTTTTATTTAAATAATTCCTTATGTTTCTCGAGATTCGAATTTTCTTTAATTCGAATAAGACGTCCTTGTCCCGTACTCTTTATACTTTAGCGTAAAAATATAATAATATCATGAAAACGGAGGTAAATGACATTTATAACTTAACAGTATTTATAAATTTACAATGTTGTTATTTATTATAATTAAATTTATGAAACATGTATTCATAATTACTTATCCTCATTGAAACATTCAATGACCTTTTCAAAGAATCTTGTATAGCTTCAGAGGTCTTAATTGAATATAAAGTTCAAACAAAGTTGTCCTTTGTAAATATTTTATCACACACATTAGGGCCGTGTTAGGTTGCTGCTAAATTAATGGTTATTCAAGTTTCATATAAATCACTCTACTTATACGATGAGCCTGATAACTTTTAAATTAATTAAATGTTTAATAATTACATACATTTTACCGGCATTAGGGTAAAATGGATTGCAAATTGCTGTCGACGTGGTATTTTTCTGAACTTAAATCAATGAAACAATCGGTTTTATCTTCATGATAATAGACGTCCAAAGTCACGGTATATTGAAGCCTAATATTATATTATAAAGCTGCAGGGTGTTTGAACGCGCTTATGTTTCTATATAACTAAATGAACTATAATCAATCTAT